TATACTTGTATATCCATGTTTTAATGTTAACACGATGTTTAGTAAAAGCTTGGCTTTTAAGTAACTGTAAAACACAGTGAATTGGTAAAAATCCCGACATGTTGGCATTTAAATTAGGCGTGACAGGTATATTAACACTTCTAGAAGCTACAACCTAAAATTGAAATAAAAAATTACWGAATTTCAGATGAAATATTGTTAGACAGTAAAAGACTTGAYTTACTTGTTCAGGAAATACATCTTGAGTGAAAATTTGTTTCATTTTTCCCATCGTACTTTGTCTGATGTTTATTCTCATTCCTAATGTATTGCACATATGATCACATATCCATGTTAACTGGCTACTATGAAAATGTATAGCCATCAGGAGTAACATTTCTCCAAAACTTGCAGTTGTGTCAGTTGGCCTTAAGTAAATGTATAWTATTTTAAATTTGGTAGAATTCTAAATAAGTATGTGCCATTTATTAATTTATAAATAGTAAAATATTACTTTCCAAAAAAAGGAGACTCGCTTCCTGCTAATCTTTTTAACCATTGCACACATTTAGCTTCATTTTCTGAGCTAGCAAGTAATGTGTTGCAGCATATCATTATACACAATGATATTGTGACAAACCTAACACCTTCAGGTGTAGATGGTGGATAACACGTAGCTAAGGATACGAGAGAAGTGATTTCTTCTTCCTGAAATCTGCAAAAGAATATTATCTCATATGAATATAATTTGATATATTTTTACAACAGTGGMTTAGCTAAACATACTTAATACCAGCAATCCCTTTCAATGCRCAGTAAAGTCTAAGTAGTACACTAGATTCAACTACACTTGAGTTAGGTAAAGTGTTGTCTTTTACATTTTTCAATAAGTTTTGTAATTGCAATAATAACTCATCGCGCATATTTTGAACAGCAAAATTTACAGAATCTTTTGTTCTCTAAATAAAATAATTGTAATAATAATACATATTTTTTAATCAATGAATATACTCACTTTTTGTCGGATGAAAAGAGAAAACCAACTTCTGGCCTGTTGGTCATTTCCGAGTAATAAGCCAGAAATGAATGTCACAAGATCATTATTACTTGACATTTGTTCATTATTCTGATGTGAAACTTTGTAAAATTTATTTTCCAAGGTCAACATAATAGTCAACGCAGGCATTTTATTAAGTTCAACCTATACTTATAAAAAAATAAAATAAATATGGAAGAAAGCAGACAATTAAAATTATTGAAAAAAATTAGAAAATTTAATTTTATCAGGATCAAGAAATTTGATTGGTGTCAATCGCAAAAATTAATTAACAACTTACCGCCATATCTTTTTTWAACAAATTTATTCATAATTATTAATTTTCATTTGTTTTTGAGAAAAATTATTTTGGACCATACCYAATGAGAATGATATAATAAGTAACATTGCATTTGTATAAATCATTACATTCTAAGCAACATTAGCTCAAAGATAAGGAGAATGTTAAATATTATTTAGGACACCCCAAAAAATTATGTTTAAATATTTTAATTTCCAAGTTTTGGGCTTTTTAAAGTGTACAAATAATTCAAAAATTTTGGTGTGAACCTCACAACCCCACTTCTACCATGAGGATATAGAAATGTTTAGAACACAGTTTAAGAAAAGCATTGTGTTGTAAAATAAATGCTGATAGCAAAGTAGTTATGGTAAGCTATTCACTCTTTGTAAAGAAATTTCAAATTAATGTATTGTGCTAACTTGAAAGCACCCATTAAAAAATAATAGAAGTCAGAAGCAATCATGCAATAGAAAAGAAAATGWGCTTACACATTTAGCACGAATCACAAGTGCAGCAGGTGGATACATTGCACTTAACTGAGTTAAGACTTCCATTCGAATACGACTACCACCATTTTCTTCTTCATATCTTTCTGAATTTTGTATTAAACTTGTACAAACTAAAAAACATTTTTTAGCAAATTATATTATTTTTAAACACATTAATTTATRACTTGCCATCATAAAAACAATCAGGAAAATTGGCTACAATCCAACAAATGAAAATTGGTCCATGTTTAACATGAAGCAACACTTCTGCAATGTCTTGAACTGTAAGTATAGCTGGTAATTCAGAAAGAGCAATGTTTAATACGTCACAAACTTCAGGTATGTAAACTGGGTAATCAAATAAATCCGACTGTTTAATATAAAATTCTGAATTAATTGAAGTTTGTGCATTATGCTGCTTGTCGCGGTGTTCTTGAATCTTAAAACATAATGGAAATCAAACAATAGTTAATGTTTWACATTAGTTTATTATTTTGATTGTTATACCTGAGAAGAAATATATAGGATTTCACTCAACACGAGTCTCAATCGCCGAGTAGAGTCACTTCTCTCAAATTCCAGAGACAATGGATTTTGTAGCGAATGTATTAGAACGCTGTCGGCTTGAGTACTGCCCAATTTTTGTCTTAAAAAGTAAAAGCAATTAAAATATTAAATAAAATTKTGCGTGATGTAAATAGCTGTTCTAACTTTACCTTAATAATTGTTCTTTTTTAACATCTATTTCTAATGAATGAAAATCAATTGACAATAGTGCAACAATGGAATTAACTAGTTCTATTCCTGACAACAATGTGAGTACATCCTTCTTGCCATCGGCATAATCTGCCATGTTGTCAGCTGATGATATTAARCTCATCCGAACCAGACATGGCAATACTGGACGGATGTCTTTTGCCGACAACTTGCATAGTTCTAGTATATCGACGTTAAGCAGTGCTTGGAAAACTTTGTGAGACACGTTTAAATTAGCCGTCATGACTTTAACAAGTTAAAAATCATTCACATGAAATAATTAATAAACCGAATGGTTTTATATTTTTCAATATCAGCTTTTGTTGATGGGATCGCTTATTGATAATTCCAGACCAGAAAACATTTTTCCAAAAAGGCGAAATTCGCAATCTTTTTGGATTTCGTTTTTCACTAGGACTCAATGAAATAATTGYTAAGATTTGAAAAAAATGCGTACTATCGCCCGTTTGTCACAACTTTTATGTTTATTGTTTACAATGAATTATTAATTTWATTCTGATTAAAATATTTGTTGATACCGCGGTTATCAGATTCTACCACGATTTAAGATAGTTACCATAGAATTTAGACAYATAAAATAATATATATGCCATAGAACAATTTATAGTATGGTTAATCCATAGAATATTATACTCATCTGTGGAATATTCTATGGTTAATCTGTGGTGAATTTAGGGAGGGCCTAAGGGAGCAATTGTATTAGGCGYCAATTTSGAAGTCTCGCATAAAAGTATCTAATATTAATGATTATTTTTATTTTTACTATACGTTACAATGTTACATTGATTATTTTACGGTTTGTGGCCCGTTTAAAAATCAAAATAATAGTTACCGGGACCCGTACTATTTAAGTCAGAATTTAATGATAATATCAAGGAATAACTTTGATGAATAACCCATAGGGCATAGGCCATTGGTTTTATTACTCAATTCGGTTGTAAAGTCGTCAGGGGCGTGTCTAAAGGGGGAAGGGTGTTCACCCCCC